TTCAGTTTATTTTTATGGCCTAAGCGAATTGAAAACGGGAGATTGGGGTATGATGGTTTTGGTAAAATGTATGTAACGGGCAAAAAACGGAGTCGAAAAAAAATAATTTGTACCCCGATAAATCGAAAATCGCGATAGATCGACAATATTCCCTTAAAAAAATCGTTCTCAATAATTCTCGATAATTTGAATTTCTGTGTAAATCGAAAAGTAAAAAATTTATCCCCTTGCCATTTCGAACTGTCGGGACTCGACCCTATATACCAGACACTGGAAATCATAGATGTATATTCATGCATATCAGATAAACGATAATCTCTATCGATCAAAATCGATAATTAAATCTAGTCTTTAATATATAACTGGCATACCTTAATAGCTACAGATTTCAGATTTAGATTTACCCTATATTACATGCTAAGATCTAGTCGCTTCGGATTTTGGATACCACTTTCCTTCCTTGGGTACAAAATTTAAATTCATTCCTTGATCTTTCTTTTTCAGGGTATCTTCCAGTCAGGCACACCCTATTCACGCACTCTGGCTTAGTTGCTTTGTTATTTTTACAGCTGAATATATTAGCTATACAATTATATGCCAAATATAGTTGAACATTTATATCCTTTACAGACAATAAATCAAGCAGGTGTAAACATAATTTGGCTTCGCCTTTGAGCGGACTTTATGCAGTTGGCTTTTGTTATGGACTGGACTGCACTGAGTTTACGCTGGCTTTTGCGCAAATCTCATTTTCCATTTGATTGTTTGCTCTTTTTATATACATTTGAAGATTTTCATTTGATTTGTTAACATTTGTTTTATTTGCCATAAAAAGTTGCAGAGGCCGTTAAAGTTTTGGGGGCCGCATCTATTTTGGTTACGGCAAATGCGACGCGACGCGACGCTTGCGGCCTCCTTTATATATTTTTATACCTCGGCGACACACATACACACACACACACACACTTGTATGCTATATATATGTATATACACTTACATTCTCTCGCTACTTACATTCTAGATGCTTGTAATAAATGTTTGTTTCGCCTTCTTAAATAAATCTGACTGCGACTAAATTGCTCATTAAAAAGAAATTTGCCAAAAGAAAATTGGCTTAAATTCGCTAAAATTCGCAAAAATTCACAGAATTGCTTATGTTGGATAAGTGTGCAAGTATGTATTTTCATGGCCAGACGTAAAGCCAACGGGTACAACTTAATAATCTACTAAAGCTGCAAATAAAGCATATAATTAAATATTTACATAATATTTACTATAATTACGTATATTAAATTTGCAAAAAAAGAATATCATTGTACTCCTTCATGAAAGTGAAATGAGTATATTGGCATTGTAGAAAAAAACATAATATAGTATATATTGCCGTCCGTCTGCCCATCTGTCCGTCCGTCTTTCAAAAAAAGTAGAGACATGAAATATGTATATGATAGTCTCGGGTGCTAAACTATGAAGCTAAAAAAAACCCGATCTCGATTCTGAAAATGGGAAACAACATTCAATCATTGTAGTGCCGAAAAAAACATATATAGAAGGTATATCCGCGTTAACAACACAAGTTCAAGCAGATATCTAAAAAAAATGGCTATTGATTCACATATTGATTTGCGATTGGGGGTGTGAGAATTCAGAACAAAAAAAAGAATGCATTTTCTGCAGTCAGTAGCAGCATTCAACGCTCTTGCATGTTTTTTGTTATTTTTTTTTTTTTTTAATGTATGTACATTCCAAAGCACAAGTCTCTAGTACTTGAAAAAAACCTTTTACAAAGGTGAGAGGTGGATATAGGGGTGGGGGGTAAATTACAAAAAAAAAAAACGAAATTATATAAAACACATACAAGTCTACATTTAAAATTTGGAAGCTCTAGTTCTAAAGGTGTAGAAGATATAATTAAATAACTAGCTTTCGATAAGGTTTTTGATCGATAATAAAATATTGGAAGTAGTTATCGACATATAGAGAAAAACTCGATATGCGCGTGATATACACGGACCTAGGAAACAAAATTTCAAGTCTCTACCTCTTATATCTTCTGAGATCGAAGCGTTCATACATACGGACGGACGGACGGACAGACAGACCTTCTGTCAGCGTCCGTTTCTTTAGCCGTCCGTCCGAGCGTCTTAGTGTCTTCGTTCGTGCCTTTTGCTATCTGACTGGACAAATATCAATTCTGAGCCTAATATATATATATTTTTTAAATATTTAGAATATTTGAAATATTCTATTTGCAAAGCTTAAAAATAAATCTAGTTAAATTTGATGCTAGATCTTAGTAAACCAGTTAGAAACAATGAAAGTAGCCCAATTCTCTGCTCGAGCTCAACTTCTTTGAATTCAATTGAAACAAATCATGTTTGAAGTATTATAATAATACTTAGATGCATAGCGTATATAGTAAATGTATATATGTACATATATCAACTATATCTGTCTAATAACATAAAAAAAAGAAATGAAAAGAAAAAAAAAAAAAAAAAAAAAAACAATAAACTGTCATAAATATTTGCTATAGCAAAACCAACAACAAATTGTCGAAGCTGAGCAAATTTTGAGAGCTGCAAAATCGTAAATAAAACTGTAATAAAAATATCAATAAATTACGCCACATATAGATTAATGAAGCAGGCAGCTCACGAGTGGCCATCAGTATATACATCTATATATTCATATATGTATGTATCTAGAATATCTAAAAGTAGTACGAGTATCTAGCCGACTCCCTCCCCCGCCCACTGGCATCACTTGTCGCACATTCTGCCTAATCACAAATTGCTTTTAGCATTAGCTAACACGATCTTCAGATGTGAGGCTGAAGATATTCATCATATATATATATGACAGATATCTATCTATCTATACATATATACTAAATACCCATTTGAGCATAATTTTAAGTGACAATTTATTTATTTTATTGTTGAAAATCTATTAAGATCTTGCCCAAGTTCGCTTGATATAAGTGATCAGGTGTCTGTCTGATTCTTCTTCTGCTTCTTCTTCTTCTTCATTAATAGATAGATGATTGGTCTATCGCCAATTGACAGCGAGGATTCAGCTCTGCCATCAAGGCTAATTAGTTAGGGGTACTCAGAAGTCGAAGCTAATTTTGTTGTCAGCTTTGATAACGAATAACAGATGAAAATAAATGAATAGAAATTTAGTCACTGTCAATGGACACATAATACCTATATTAGCTGAGACATTAACATTTGCTAGGGCTGTCACTACCCATCCAATTGATGGCCATTGATCGGTCTCATTCATTTTTACGTTTGACGTTTCGCCATCAATCTGAAATTTTTGGTTTGGGCAAATGGCTGGCGAAATTGATGAAATGGTCATTAGGCAAGTGGGGATATTGCTTATTTTTCTTACCAATTTCGTTGCAATTTATTATCGTCTGTTTTGTACAATATTTAAGCATGCATTTTATGGTTCGAATTACCGCCGCCCATGGCCAAAATCTCAGCATCCACCCCGACCTCCAAAGTAATTTATGTATTTTTAATAAACCCGCAAGAGCCAAAATTATTGTGCTCATAAATTGTGCAATTACACCGCCAGATGGCGATACCAACAGCTGCATTCAATCGATATGTACTATAAATAATATACCATACTATAAATATATGCCCATCATTTTCTTTTTGCAAACGCCTCTGAGAAGTTGATTCAATAAAGTGTCACTCAACTGATGGCGCCATCTATCGTTAACATAATGAACAAATTTTCAAAAAGCAGATAAAATCATTTGCCAAAAAAAAAGACTTGTAGACTTGCAAAACTCTTAAGCTGTCAGTTATTAAGCTCAAGTGACGTATCAGACTGCTTTTTTCCGCTAGCAAATAAATGTTTTATAGCAGCCAGCAGTAAGTCGTTTGCGAGCTTTTCACTACGACCGCTAGAGTGCGTGTGTACATTCGCTATTCTCTCTGGCTGAAAATCACAGTGCAGGCGGTGAAGTGCAATTACTCTGTGGATGTGTAGAGCGGCGCTACCCCAAAACACGTAGGTGTAAAAGTGGAAATTAGGAGAAACTTGATTGTGATGTATAATTATTTCGTTAAGCCGTTGGATATAATCTAATCTATAATATCTATAATCTCTTCAAAGAGAAACAAGTGTATCTAAAGAAGCGCAGGGAATTAAAATGATAAATAGTGTTGAGCAGAATTACAGATACTGATAAGACAGAATTACAGTAGGGCAGTGTTTAATAAAACTGGGATTTATCAGTTGCTCTGGAGTATTTAGTATGCTAAGTATGCATATGCATATAATCGAATTGAAACTTATCACACACTAATAAATAAATCAAACTACACTTTTAAGATACTCATTTTCTCATTCCCCCTTTTAAAATTTTTTAATGAACTTTATTTCTAATAGACGGGAAACTGTTCTCTTAATACTCTCTCTCTCTCTCTCTCTCTCCTCGCACCACTTCTTGACCACTCTTGCGTCCAGTGTAATTATCGGTATCGATATATCGACTGGCCTGTACAATCGGCGCGAAGAATCTGACTGTCTTCTCATTAATCAGTGCTGCAAATTTAGCCTTTTTTTAATGAAAGATAACTGTAGGTTTCGACTTTTATCTGTAATCTTAACTGGCTACTTATATACACTATTATTTTATCATGCCTAAGATATACTAAGATATATGCACATATGTACAGTTGAAT